CACTGTTGGGGCTGGAGAGATGGCTCAATAGTTAAGAGCACTAGCCAGCTGCTCTTGCAGAGGACCTGGGTTCAGTTCCCAACTCCCACATGACAGCTAACAGTCATCTGTAACTCCAGTTCCAGGGTATCTGATACCCTCTTCTGACCTCCATGGGCATTTCAGGACACAGGTGTTTTTATATGCATGGCAGGAAATACACTCATACACATAAAATAAAAATAATAATTTTTTTAAAAAATTTACCTTATCTAAAACTTTGTCAATTATTTCTCATATTTTTTCAAAAGTGAGAGATTTCACACTTTATTTATTTTTAATTTTTTGGTTGAATTTTTGCAAGTTTCATACAATATAGTTTGATGGTGTTTAGAACCCCTCCCTTATCTTCACCTCCTCATACTGCCCCACCCAATTTAATGTACACTCATATATAGATATATATAGAGAGAGATATAAATATAGATATGAGTGATACAGTCTACAAAGTCTGATTTGTGAACCCAAATGTCCTTCATGGTGAGCCCATCCACTGGGCCCACCAGAGTTCCATCCCTATAAGACACTGTCTCTCCCTATAAAGTGTGTATCCTTGCATAAGACTCCTATACTGAACCTCACCCACCCCCAGCAGAACTATTGGAGACTGATTGTTGCTGGGTGAGGTTGAATATGCTTTATATATGATCTCTAGATGGGCTGACTAGATTCCAGTCGACAAATTTATGCTGAAGTACATCTGGGTACAAATGCTTGACTGAATGGGACTTAACGTGTATGGCAGAACACCTGGTGGTGGGATGGGGACATGGATGGGGGATAGGATCTAAATTTGATTAAGAACTGTTGTATAAAATTACAAAAGCTCAATACATTTTTTAAAAAGACAATGCCTCTCCCCCTACCAGCAACCATCAATTGCCAAAAGTTTCTTAGGTTGGTTTGGGATTTCTTGCTCACTTCCCGTGACAATGCTGGGATTTTTATATGGTTTGAGCTTGCGTAGGATTTGTGCATGCTGTCACCATTGCTGTGACTTCATATGAATAAGTGACCAACTGTCTGGAAGACTCTATTTCCTTGTGTTCAGAGATAAGCATTCTGTGGTCTCTTGTTCCCTGCACATTGGCCAATTGTGAATTTTTGTGTTAATCACCACCTGCTGCATAAGGAAATTCTCATTTTTTAAATGTTTTATAGCAAATAGTTCCAAAAGTTTAGAGTTTGCTTTATTGGAATGTTTACATATTTTAGGTATGCAGAATTCAAAAAAGAGTTATTTAACTCTGGATTATATACATTTGAAGAATTTTAAGATCTTTTTTATGAAAGGGAATAATCTGCTTACTCAAGTTATTAAGAAATTAGGGACCATAAGGGAAAACTTGCATGAACGGAAGAATTCTCACAGACATATATCAGGGACTGAACAACATCTGAGCATATGCAGTGGAAAACTTCAAGATTTTTGAGAGGTAGCCAGGTGATTTAAATGTTATTCTAGACTAAAGTGTTTAGGTGTTAGACTCACCTAGTAACATTCTTTAGTAGTAAACATTCTTCAGAACTCGCAATTAGAAAATAATGTTGAGTTTGGAGGTGAGTCCTAAATCATAGTGATGGTTATTAAAATAGCTTCAAACACGACAGCCAAGGAGAACTTACCAGATTTCTTCAACTTGGCTGTCTGTGAATCCTTATCAGAGACTGGATTGGTCTGGTTCTCTGTTACCTATCCATGGTAAGAAACTTTAACCTGCCCAGGGTTCTCCATAATGCTGCCTTGACTTCCTTGTTCCATAAACTGTAGATGATGGGGTTCAGCATGGATGTCACCACTGTGTAGAAGATAGCCAGGTGTTTATCTGCTCCTGGTGAGTGGCTAGGCTTGGGCATCAAATACGTGGTAGATGTTGAGCCATAGAAGAGTGTTACTACAAGTAGGAGGGAGGAACAGGTAGAAAGGGCTTTATGGCGGACCTCAGGAGAGGGCATCACCAGCACTGCAGCTAGAATTCTGCCATATGAAGCAATGATCAGTAAAAAGGGGCTGGAAATGCAGAGGACTGCAGCCACAAAGATCGCAACCTTGTTATGAGATGTATCTCCACAGACCAGAGCAAGGAGACGGGGAAGGTCACAGAAGAAGTGGTTGATCTCACAGGGGCCACAGAAGTTCAAGGAGAAAATGAAATTGGTCTGCCCCAAACCTACTATGCATGCCATTCCCCAAGACACCATGGCCAGTTGGACACACACCCCACCACCCATTCTTGTCACATAGTGCAGTGGGGCACATATGGCCATGTAGCGGTCAAAAGCCATGGCTGCCAGAGGACAACAGTGATGCCAAAGAATATAAAGAAAAACATCTGTGTGGCACAGCCCTCCCAAGAGATCCCTCTGGCCTCACTCACAAGGCTCTGGAGGATCTTAGGTATGACTGAGCACGTGTAACCGATCTCCAGGAGAGACAAGTTGGCCAGGAAGAAGTACATGGGAGTGTGGAGGGCTGGGTTCATCCAGATGGCTAGAGTGATAAGTACATTGCCAGTCAGGGACACCAAGAACATGAAGAGCACAAGGGTGAAGAGGAGAGAACACTCTCCATGGACCTCAGAGAACTTGGCAAATGCAAAGCGTTTGACAAACATGCTGTTCTCCTGCCACAGAGAACAGTTGAAACTCATTTCCTGGAACAGAGAATAGCAAACCATCAGAAGGCTCCTTCAGATGAGGAAAGTTATTTTAAGTCTTGTGTGAATGAAAGTATGTATATACATGTGTGTGGGTTCATCTGAGTGTGTGTAATGTATGTGTATAGGCACAGTGTCAATGACAGGTGTCTTCCTTGGTCCTTCTCCACCTTACTTTTTGAGACAGGGTCTCTTAGTGAACCTGGATCTACTTGTTGTTTTCTAGACAGGCTGGTCCTAGGATCTTCCTGCATTTGCCTCCCAATATTGTGGTTACAGAGAGACTGCATCTTTCAGCTTTTACATGGATGCTAGGGATCCAAACTCAGGTCCTCATGCTATGTAACACAAGAAATGTACCCATGGAAACATCTCAGTTCCTCATTTTATTACTTTTAGAGCATAAGTTAAATTAGAGAGGGAAATTTGTTATGTGGATTTTTACAATTCAGAAATCTCAAAAATCACCATTCATCCTCACAAGGCTGACAAATAAAATCATTTTCCTATTTTCCATATCATGTGATTTGTCCAAGATGGACTTAGTTTCTAGGCACTAAATGGCATATGTTGTAAGCCCGGTATTGGGATGGCAGGGGCAGAAGTCTCACTGTGAGTTCAAGGTAGCTTGTGTTAAGCATGATATTGTGGGCTGGAGAAACAGCTCAGGGGTTAAGAGCACTGGTTGCTCTTACAGAGGTCCAGGGTTTGATACCCAGCACCCACATGGTGGCTAACAACCATCTGTAACTCCAGTTCCAAGGGAATCTTATGCTGCCTCCTGATATCTGCAATGGTGCACTTATATGCATACACATAAAATAAAAACAATAAAATATTTTTAAAGAGTGATATTGTCTTAAAAACAAAGAGTTGGTCCCTTCTCCCTTTACACATCCCTTTAGCCCATTTCTAGAAGATAGTCTTTTCATATACATTTTCCTCACCTCATTGTACCTGCCACTGACCTGCTGTCTTTAACTGTGTGTTTAGCAGAATTTAACTCAGCCTGCTCTGAACTTAGTATTGTAGCTATTCAGGTTCAGCAAGGAACTAACTCATTTTTCCTTGATAAGCTTCATATTTTACTGAAAGAGAATTTAAACCACATCATAACCTTTCCAAAAGTTGGTAATTGCTGAATTTCATGATTAAAACCAGGGCATGTCCTGGTCACTGAACAGTTTATGTGAGGTGGTCAGAAAAGGCTCTTGAGAACCGAAGCCTGAGCTGGGATGAGAGAGGAGCAGCCCTGCTGATGGCACTACAGCACCACCATGGCACCTGCTGTCACAGATGTGCATACCGCTCAGGTGCACAGCACAGTAGCCTTGTCATCACCTTCATAGTTGTCCTTTATCAGAGCAAGCTTGCTTCTGGTCACTGAAAGTTAATTGAAAAACAGAGAGAGACTGGGTCTTGTTATGTGGCCCAGGCTGGCCTGAAACTTACAATTCCCCTGCCTCGGCTTCCTGAGGGCTGGGATTACAGATGAACCACTAAGCACAGATCGTTGAGGTCCTTACATCCAGTCCTGCCAGGCTACACTTTTCTGTGCACATGGTACGCATCTTTTCTCCTGCTCATTCTTGTACAGATTCGGGCTTCCATGACTGTTTTCCTGGAACTTTTCAGATGCAGCACAGATTTGTCTCCTCTCTGGAAACTTCCTAACTTCT